TTGTGCTCTAGGGATAAAGACTGGCTCTGCTGTCAGAGGAGCCATAGACTATCTTGGACTCCTAGCTGGCACCCACATTCAGAGGGCTTGGTTTGGTCCAATGCTGTTTCCCCAGCTTTATGACTAGGGTCTCCATTCTATCAGTAGGTCAGGTTCACTGTTTCTGCAGGTCTCTCCATCCCCGTCTTGGTTCCTTTGCTCAAGCCTCCTCCCTCTCCACAACTGAATTCCAGTAATATGGTTCAATGCTATGGGTGTCTGTTTCTTCTTTGAACAGCAACTGGATAAAGGCTCTCCTTCCTCTTTCTGCCCCCGGGCTCCCACTTTGGTCATGGGTTCTTGTCCCCCTCCGTTTCTTCGAGGGACTATGCAATCTTCTCTTGGGGTCCTCCTTGTTTCCTGGCTCCTCTGGCAGTGTGGATTGTAGGCTAGTGATCCTTTTCTCTATGTCTAAAAATCAAAAATGAGTGAGTGCAAACCATGTTTATCTTTTTGTGATTCAGTTACCTCACTCAGGATGGTTTGTTCTGGTTTCATCCATTTGCCTGTGAATTTCAAGATTCCATTGTTTTTTTCCACTGAGTAGTACTCCATTGTGTAAATGTACCATATTTTCTGTATCCATTCTTCAGTTGAGGGGCATCTAGGTTGTTTCCAGGTTCTGTCTATTACAAATAATGCTGCTGTGAACATAGTTGAACATATGTCTTTACTATATGAGTGTGCATTCTTTGGCTATATGCCCAAGAGAGGAATTGCTGGATCTTGAGTTACTGATTCTCATTTTCCTGAGAAACTGCCATACTGATTTCCAGAGTGGTTGTACAAGTTTGCACACCCACCAGCAATGGAGGAGTGTTCCTCTTTCTCCACATTCTCTCCAGCACAGATTGTCATTGGTGTTAGTGATTTTAGCCATCTCTGACAGGAGTAAGATGATATCTCAGAGTGTTCATTTCTTTAAAAGGTAATTTATAAATGGTACATTTTAATCCTTCAGAGATACAAATATATTTGCCTAAGAGACTATATTTAAATTGTCTCACCTTTATTGATAGAAATTGTATATATTTATAGTATACAATGTAATAGTGCATATTAAAATAACTCATTGATTTGTTGGGAATTAACTATATTAAACATTTCAAGGATTTTGGATGAGATATTTTAGTAAAGGGTGCTCTTTCCAAAAAGCAAAGGCAGCAAGGACAAATCTCTCCACAGCCAGTTTGCTCACAGTGATGCTATTTCATCCTGTGTACTTTAGGAAATAGATAAATTAAAGAAGGAAGTTTTTATTCTTCATGTGACTCTGAATTTCTCTGTGAGTTGTCATGGGAGTCTTCCCCTTTTTGATGGCTGAGTAGCAGAAACAATTCTGAATGTCATGAGAATCATTCGTTTGGTGTTTATAATGTATTATATTTTGGCAAAAAGCACACTTTTCACCTAAAAATATATGCAGATAATAGCTGTGCCAGCCTTTCACTGGGTGTTTCTGTGTCTGGATCCAGATAGATCTTTTGTATTTTTTAAAAGATTTGTTTTTTTAATCAAGATATCTGTTTCATCGCTCCCATCCCCTCCCTTCTCCCCCTCCCATACTCAGGAGACCTTGACTATTTTCCCTTCCTGGGGCCCTCTATGTGTATCTCTTTTAGGGTCCCCCTTTTACTTAGCTTTTCTGGGCTTGTGGATTGTATCATGGAGACATTATAGGGTTAGGGAGAAACCTGGTGCTAAAGAAATTCTCAGGAATCCACAAGGATGACCCCAGCTAAGTACCATAGCAATAGTGGAGAGAGTGTCTGAACAGTCCTTCCCCTGTAATCAGATTAGTGATTATCCTAATTGTCATCATAGAACCTACATCCAGTCACTGATGGAAGTAGATGCAGTGACCACAGCCAAGCCCTGGGCTGAGCTCCTGGAGTCTAGTCAGAGAAGGAGGAGGATCATATAAACAAGGGTGTCAAAACCATGATTGAGAAAACCCACAGATAAAGCTGACCTGAGCTAGTGGGAGCTCACACTATGGGGAACCTGCATGGGACCAAACTAGGCCCTCTGAATGTGGGTGACAGATATGTGGCTTGGTCTGTTGGTGAGGAGGCCTGCCAGTGGCACCAGGACCTATCCCAGGTGCACGAATTGGCTTTTTGGAGCTCATTCCCTATGGTGGGATACCTTGCTCCGCCTTGATGGGGCAGGGGCTTGGTCCTGCCTCAACTTGGTATGCCAGACTTTGTTGACTCCCCAAGGATGTCCTTAACCCCCTCTGAGGAGTGGATGGTGGGGCTGGGGGTGGGGGGGTAGGATTGGGGTTGGTATATAAAATTTAAAAAATTTAATAAAAAAGAAAAACAGTTTTGTTTTTATTATTATAATTACGTGTCTGTGGGTATGCAGTCGAGTGCAGTCGCAGTGGAGGCCTAAGGCACTGCATGCCCTGGAACTGGAGTCAGAGGCTTTGTTGGGATCTGACTGGTGGGGTGCTGGGAACTGAACTCAGGTCCCCTGGAAGAGCAGTATGTCCTCTTAGCCCCTGAGCCATCTCTGTAGCCCCATATCTGCTGTGTTCTTGTTATGGGTGCCTTTATGTATCTGTGAAAGGTGATAACCATGCGGATATCACCTTTAATTTGAAACTGTACATTAAAATTCATATTAAGTTTCTTATTTATTAAGTCAGAATTCTTTCCTACAAATATAATCTCTTAATTATATTTTTTTGATAGTGACTTGGGTTTTAAAAATAGACACTGAGTTTTAACATTCATAACTAGTGGTTAACTGGGCAGAAATATTCTCATTGAGAAGAAAGGACTCAGACAGGAAATTTCTTTGCAGATGATAAAACATAATTAAAAGTGTATGTTGAAAAACTATTATGTATTCTACCTTAAATTGGCAGTAACTGGAAATAAGTATTTTCATTCTAGCCAGTGAGACTGTCCTTTTAATGTGTTTGTACTCTTGGTGGACATTATCGGCTGTTTCATTTTCCTCTAGAGCAGCACCCAGGTAGGGCCACTGTCAGTCTCATATTCCTGTCCTTGTCACAGGTACTGCAGCCCAGAGTATACCTTCCCATCCCAACAGGAGGTTATCCAGTTCGCCATCAACACTGCTTTTGAGGCTGTAACTCTAAACCCACGCGCTCTTGTTGTCTGTGGCACTTACTGTATTGGAAAGGAGAAAGTCTTCCTAGGTGGGTGGTGGCAGTATCTAATTTACATTAATATGTTATAAAGATCAGATTCTCCTGCATAAGACCCTTTCAGTCTCTCCTCTTGCATCTGGTATTTACTTTCTGAAATGATCCAGCATTGCCTTTGAAGTTACAGGGAACATGGATAGTGTTTGATCGTTTAAGCCAGGAGGCTAAACTTTATGGAAACATTTGATAAGCGCATTTATGTTGACACTTTGCTCATCAACAAAATCTGTGTAGCACTGTGATTTTAATTAGCTTTGAAAGGTGCTTCATGCATAGCCATATGGCATCATTGCTTCCAGTAACCACTGGCAAACTGTCGGAGAACAGTTTAACTTCTGCTCCTGGTTGACTTCTTCTGGCTTCCTGTGGTTTGTCTAGGTGGAAAGGTGCTATGTATGTTTCTGCAGAGTGCTCCCCTTAGGTGGTAAGGTGTTTTGTTTCTGCAGTGTGTTCCCCTTAGGTGGCAAGGTGTTTTGTTTCTGAAGAGTGCTCCCCATTTCTTTTAAATGTGATGACCATCTGTCAACTCCCAAGAGATGAAATGATAAGGTCAGGGCTTAAGATGTCCAAATGTGCTTCCTTTCCATCTACCTATTTCTATGCTGCTTTCCTTTTTATGATTAATTTTATTTTTAATCATGTGTACATGTGTACGTCTGTTTGTGCATGTGAGTACCCACGGAGGCCAGAGAGGGCATCAGGTTACCTTAGAGTTGGAATTACAGGTGGTTGTGAGCCACCGACTAGGACGCTGGGAACAGACTTGGGGCCTCTGCAAGAGCATTAATTGCTCTTAATCACTGAGCCAGTTGGGCATCTCTGCTTTCTGTACTTCTTTTGTAGTTTTTAAATAATAAGTATCGACTTTTAAAGAGAAATTCTTTGGCTTTAAGTTTGTTAATTCCACATAGCTAATGAGCAAAGTCATTTGGCTATTTGTAGTTAAAGTGTGAATGTTTGTTTTGTGAATTTGTTCTTTATTTTGTAAATTCTTATTTTAAAATTTGAATAAGCTATAACTTTGTTTATTTAACAAGCCCTGATTTTATTGTTTTTCATCTTCTGCTTTGCCAACAGCCATTGCTGATGTTTTGGGTTCAAAGGTGGGCATGTCCCAAGAAAAATATAAAACTTTGAAGTGCCTCAATCTACCAGACGTCAATTCCCTCATCACTACAGATATGTGCAGTTCCTTGGTTCACCTCCTCCCAATGATGCAAATTAATTTTAAGGTAAGCATTCCAGATGCGTATCTTTTAGGATGCCCCAGGAAAGGTATTTATCTGCACTTAACTCTAAGGAATTCTGTTAGAATGAAGTTTCTCCCCCAAGGGAAACATTTTAGCTTTTCTGTGTGAGTACCTTTGTAGAGGAATTCACACGCCTACCAGGAGGGTCAGCCCAAAGGAAGGAACACAAATAGAAGCTTATGTGCCATCTGGCCATCCAGACGTCCGTATCAGGACCACGTTTCTTAGTCGTATCTGGGCGAATGAGGAGTTAGACAGGTGTAAGTTCCTCTCCTCAGGCCTGTCCTATTCAGTTCTGATATTCAGCCCTAGTCATTAGACACTGGTGTCTACTGAATGAGTTAGTGTGGCTGAGTCCCCAGGAATAAACAAGAACACATCCCTGTGGTTTCAGTTCTAAGATTTGCTCCATATTCTAACCTGTTGATGCCTGGCAATGGATTATATTAATGTTTTATAATAAACACTATTTAGAACATAATACACAAAAAACGTGGTTTTACTTTTGCCTTTGTGTTTCTGAAGTAGCTTTTCCTGAAGCTTTTTAAACTAGGAAGCCTGTGCCTGACAAATAATGAGGTGTCAGGAAAACAACTGCTCATTCCTTGAGCAGGAGTTCTCTCTGTATACCTTTATGTGTGAGGTGAAAGGGTAAGTTTGGGATCCTTTCCCCGGGGCTCGTAGTCCATAACTTTGCAGATATAGCCAAGGCAGGGGCTGCATGTTGCTAATTAGCTGACTCAGCCCTGTGAGTGTTGTAAGTTTGGGCGATGCCTACCTGGTGAAAAGTCTCCGCAGATGTTAGTTCCTCAGAAGATGCGTGACGCTGCCCTGGAGAACGGGCAGCACTGTTTTATACCCTCCTCTGTTTCATCTGAGCAGATTGTTAGGGTGGGGTTGTCAGTATTATGAACGTTGAAGGGTTAGAACTTTTCCCAGGGGAGTTCCCAGATGCTGTGGTGCAGACAAGGCCACAGGAGGGAAGGAAGGCAGTCTGCACCTAGAGTAGCCATGCTGACCAGCACAGGGACTGTGCAGTGACGTCATGATGGGAGGGGCCAGAGGGCAGAGAGCTAAGGAAGGATGAGAAGACTGTCCCAAAAAGGTACACTTCGATGGCCAGCCAATAAGCATACTAAAAGAGACACAGTGCTGGTAGCTGTCAGGACATTACAGATCCTAACCACAGTGAAATAACCCCCTGACTCTCACTTGGATAGCTATAGTGAAACAGGTAGACAATAACTACTGTTGATGAGGGTGTGGGGAAATTTGATCCCTGTTCTTTGCTAGTGGGACTGTGAAATGATGTCCTTGCATTCAGTTTGGTAATGACCTGGTCAGTCCTGGGCATATCCTTGCTTAATGAAAGCCTGACCTTGCATAAAGCTGTTTAAATATTCACAGTAGCATGATCCATAACAGCCAAAAAGTAGAGACAACTCCAATACCCATTAAATAGTGAATGAACAAATTAAATGTGATATATCCATAAAACAGGATGTTCTTCAGCTATAAAAAGAAATGAATAATAATGCTTGCTGCAGTATAAACTATGAGAAAAATATGCAAGATAAAAAAGGCAAACGTGATTCCTATCTACTATATGATTCTATTCATGTGAAATACCCAGAGTATGTAAATCTGTAGACTTAAGAGTGCAGGTTTCTGATTGCCGGGGTTTGGAAGGAAGGCAAGGGAGAGTGAGCCAGTGGTACAGGGTTTGTTTTGGGGATGGTGTAAATGTCCTAGAATTTGATAATGTCATTGTTGCACAATTTTGATTTTGTAAGTAGACTAAAAACTGCTGGTTTTAGTTATTGTAACACTGGCAGTTGCAGTCTAGAAGTCAAGAGGGAAAAAACAGACAAATAAAAAGCAATAAACAAAGGAGAGGTAAAGACATGGAGACGAGAAGTAGAGCACTGGGTATTAAGAGAAGGCCACAGTACTGCAGAGGCAGAGCACACAGCCTGGGGTTCCTTAGGGAAGTGGGCAGGGTCTAGGGAGACAAGAGATGAGGCTGTAAGTGGTGAAGTGAGTTTCTCAACAGCCTCACTCAGAGACGACGCTCATGCTTACTGCATAGCCAGCAGCTTCACAGGCTGCTTTCTGTTCCTCATGGCCTTGTTTTGGAGACTGTATTTCTATCATCCCAGGCCTAAACAGAAATAAATCTCGAGGCAACTGCAAACTCAAGTATAGTTTTTATTCAGGAACTTAAACTGGCTTTAAGATTTGGAAGCCTTTATTCTGGGCACTATTCAGGTTGGTGTTCTTGAAAAGGGAGTGACCTGGTACCGTTGTCTAGATTTTTAATCCTTACCCAGTGTATTTTACCACTTCCAGGAGTTCTTGCTAAAAAGTTAATCCTTTATGGAAAGGCTGTTTTCAGGGTCCTCAGATGATGGACATCTAAGAAAGTGAAGGAAGGCAGGTGGAGTCTCATAGCACACCAGAAGATGGGGCCGTAAAGTGCCAGCGTGAACCATGTCCCCTTTCCTCGAGGTCCCACAAGCTCGTACACACATGAACTTGAACGTGTGTACACAACACATACACAGGCACACACCTTCATATCTAAAAATTAAGCCTGAAATGCTGCAAATGACGCCTAATCTACTCTTACTCATCCCAAGGTCTTACAGGCATTGTATGGCTGACGGCCACCCAAGACTTAACCCTTGTGGACTAAATGAGGTAAAACATGACATGCAGATGCTGTAGGGATTGTTGGCATTCTGAAGAAAGCTGGTGACATTGCCAAGGCATTTTTCTCACAAACTGGTTACTAATAAACACAGAGAGACAGTCATAAATCAGGGGCTTTGTGTTGACTAAATTGTTTATAATAACCTTCCTCCTGAGAACAGTCCTGCAATTGTAGTGAATGCACCCCTAGTAGTCCTGGCAGCCTTCTCTGTAGATCTGGCTCACGGAACTGTATCTATTTGTAGCGCTGCTTTATATCACATGCTATTTTTGGAATAACTGATTTGTCTCCTAGGAACCAAAAATTGATTCTCATTTAATTCTTTCAGGTAGTTTTGAAGAAACAAATAGAAATAGCTAAGTAGGTAGTGAATGCTGCAAACTAGACTCCAGTTTATGTAACTGTGCATATAATTGTATGTATTGCCCACGGTCTCTGTTTACTGGTACGTCTTTCTTCTGGAGGGCAGAGTGAGGAAAATAGTAATTAAGAAAATAACCAAAAGAAAAACTTGAAAATTTACAGTGCCAGGGATAGAATGGAAATGTCTGTAATCTAGCTCTCAATATCAAGGGTTAGGAGTCGATTGGAAATATGGGTTTTTCATGATAGATATCTTTATATTTGCGTCACATTAATGACAGGTTTTGGTTGGTACCAAAGGAAGTGGGGGCAGGCTGCAAGAGGACTCAGCGTGTAAGAGCACAGAGACGGGAAGATGGCTGGGGCTGCTGGCCACCCGCCTGCTCCAGGTTCAGTGACTGACCCTGACTCAAGGGAACAAGGCAGAGCATGACAGAGCAAGGAAACCCCATGTCCTCCACATGTACATAGGTGCCCATGCGTGTGCATGTGCACGCACGCGGGCACGCACACACACACGCACACACACACATGCACACACGGGCACACACACGTACACTCACACACACAGGTACACACATAAAACACGATTATTTCATCAATGAGGTGAATTTTACTTCATTATAAGCTTTTTAAATCCTCGATTTCAACCTGAAAATCCTAAGTATTGACCTTTAAAAGAATCCCTTAGGTTACCATTACCATTCTTGCGCCACAGTTATCTTCAGCTGAGTTGCTCCCACGTTTCAAAGATTTAACTTGGAATGGGTTCTTTAAGAGGTTTTTGAAATGCTGTAGTTAGTTATGACTTTAGCTGAGGCACTTTATTCTACTCAACACCTTACAAGAGGAGCTTGTGTTGTGGTTTGGGTAAGAGTGGCCCCCGTAAGTTCCTGTATTTGAATGTGTAGTCATCAGAAGAGGGGACTAGAAGTTGTGGCCTTGTTGGAGGAAGCGTTTCACTGGCCGTGGGCTTTGAGGGTTCACAAGCCGTGGCAGGCCCAGTCTCTCTGTGTCTGTCTGCAGCTCAGGATGCAGCTCTCAGCTACTTCCCCAGCACCGTGCCTGTCAAACCTGCTGCCATGTTCCCTGCCCTGAGTTAGTGGACTGAGCCTCTGAAACTGTAAGCAAGCCCCCAGTTAAATGTTTCCTTTTATAAAAATTGCCTTGGTTATGATGTCTCTTCACAGCAATAGAACAGCAACTAAGACAGAAGCTGGTACCAGAGACTGGAGTATTGATGTTTGTTGGAGGGAAATGGAAAACTTTGGGAGTTTGTGTAGTGGCGTCTTGCCTGTGAACCTGTAACGGTGGCTACGTCCCCGCTTGGCCCGGGCATCAGGTGCAGATGGAAACAGAAAGAGCAAAGTGTGTGGTCTCTCACGAGCTCTCTTCAATTCTGTCTGACCTGAAGCCACACCCAAAGGGGTGTGGCCACTGTTATAGGTTCACAGGCAAAAGGCTGCCTCCAGTTTGGACTAAGAATGTAGTTGGACACTTTCAGCTAGGCTTAATGGGCCATTCTTTTCAGGAGCAGGGAATGTAGTGCTGAGGGTGATTTGATCTGTGGGAACCAACTCAAGAAGTTTCAGAGGGGATGACCATCAATAAATGGCCTAGAGACCATTCTTGTGATATTTTGGCAATGAACATGGCTGCTTTTTACCCTTGTCCTAAAAAAAAAAAAAAATCTTCCTGAGGCTAAATTAAAGAGTTTTGGATTAATGGCTTGGCAGAGGAAGTTATAAGACAGCCTTGTATTGACTGTGCTGTGTGATTATCAATGATCATTCTTATGCAGGTCTGTAATGAAAAGGCGAAAACTGGGCAAGGAAAAATACAAAATGTAGAGTGTGAGGAGAAAAAGAAAAAGTGTAGTGGAGCTAAGTCCAGTGCTCAAGGAGATAAAAAGTTTAAAGAAAAGCCTGACAGTACATGGGATAAAAGGAGTGTTGACCTCAGGGCAAGGTCCCGCCCAACTGGTTTCCAACTTCTTAAAAGGAATTAAAGAAAAGCCTAAGCCATGAAGGAAACCATCTACAACTAAAAGCGGATAAAGATGTAACTGAACAAGGGGGCCACACTCCAGCCCTAGAAAGCAGCAGAACTCGGCAGCTTCAGCCAGCCATGTCATTCTGACTGCAGAGTCAAAAATACAAGAAAGGAACTGTGGGATCTCCCTCCATGGCCAGGCATGTGTCAGGGATGTCCCTGCATGGCGCTCCAGAGAGGCTATTGTGTGACGCTGTGAACGTGAAGCCTGGGTTGCCTTGGAAAACCCAAGATATTGGAGATGCCAGAGTCATAGGATGGATATCTGCCAAGGAAAGTTGCTAAGAGGGAGTGGAACCAGCCCCAGGGAAAGAAGTGTGTTGCAGGCAACAAAGCCGAAAGGAGCTGGAGATCTGAAGAGCGTCTTGACATCAGACATGGAGCTGCAGAATTTGGAGTTTGCCTGCTAAGTTTTCAGGCTTGCTTTAGTCCCGCGTTTCCTCACTCTGCTCCTTTCCTCCCTTTGGGGCTGGTAATGTGTATCCTGTGCCATTGTGTGTTGGAAGTCCATGACCTGTTTTGACTTTGATTTTACAGGGGATTAAGAGATAGCATGAGTCTCAGAAGACACTGGATTTTAAGCATTGTTGAGACTGTGATGGGCTTTTGAAGTTGGCACTGACGATGTGGCTGCAAACCCATGGGGTCTGAGAGTGCACGGCGCTGGTTTGAGTATGCATTGGCCCCCGCAGGCTCTTGCATTTGCTTCGTCAGGCTTCGTCACCAGGGAGTCCACCTTTTTGAAAGATGAGAAGGATTAGGCGGAGGGGCCTTACTGGAGATTTGTCCCTGGATGGTGGACTTTGACGTTTCAGAAGCCCATGCTAGACCTAGTCTCTCTGCTTTTGGGTCAGGATGTAGTGTTCTCGGCCACTTCCCTAGCACCATGCCTATCCGCACCATGCTCTAAGCCTCTGAAACGGTAAAGAAGCCCCCAGTCAAGCACTTTCTTTTATAGGAGTTGCCTTGGTTGTGGTGTCTCTTCATAGCAACAGAGCAATGACTAACACAGCACATGACTTCTGATTACAGTGACCTGAAGATTGAGGGCGAAGCCAGTTGACGTTGAAGGGGTAAAAGGCAAATGCCCAAGAGGAATGCTGTGGTACATTTTAAAATGTGGATCTGTGCTGAGTACAGTGCTCCCCTTAGCTGGTGATTTCTTGTCCCCTGTCAGCTTATACTCAAAGATTTTTGTTGCGTTTATGTTTATCGTTATCAATATTAATGTCTCTGTATGTGGGTTTTTTTGTAGCTAACTCAATCATAATTCATTTAACTCCGTTACTTAGCTTTCAGATGATTCATCCTAGTTTTTTCCAGGCATTGCCTTAGCTTGTTTAGGAAAGTCAAAAAGAGAGGCTGTATGTGTTTCCCATGACCGTCTCCACAGAAGCATGGCCCTGGGTTGCTGTGTCCCCACAGAAGCAGGGCCTGGTTGCTGCATACCAGTCTCAACAGCAGTCTTAACGCTCTCTGTGATTGTCAGTGCTCGTCTCTAATCTCACCCTTCAACCCCACACCACCTGCCTCCACTGACACTGACCAGCAAACCAATGCACTGTTTCTATCTAACAGGGCTTGCAGAGTCATTTGGAGAAATGTGATGGGAAATATGATCAGATTTTGGCTTTTCGACCTACGGGATGGACACATTCTAACCGCATAACTAGCATAGCGGACATTACTCCCCAGAAGAAAGGAAAGATATCAATATATGGTAAAATTCTTCAAACTTCTCACTTTTCATCCATTTCTCTCCCTTTTTTATACATCTTTGTTTGTGCACATATACCATGTGTAGCCATGAGGTCAGAGGACTGCTTGCAGGAGTCGGTTCTCTCCTGCCTTATGGGTCCTGGGGATTGAACTTGGGTCATCAGATGTGGCAGCAAGTTTCCTAACCCACTGAAACAGCTCTCTGGTCCAGAGTTTCTCACTTTTACTGTTTGGGGTACTACTCATTCCTTAAAAAGCATTGTGAAATGGTAAACCAAGAAAAACAGATGGCAAAGAATTTAGCAGCTCGAGAGTCTCCAGGCTGTCTACAACTCTGCACTCCTATCCAGTCCGTCGTCAGCCAGCATACAGGAGCTGATGCTGGCTAAGGCTGATCCCTGCATGCTGTAGTCAGGGTTACTTACAGGAAACAAGGGAATTACTTGAAAGGGACAGCGCTGTGGTTTTATACCCAAGTTTAGCTGACAGGAAACAGTGAGGTTGTGGCAGGAAGAGGTGTGTTAGAAGTGGTGACTGCAGGGGTGACAGCAGGCTTGCCTTTGTTGTAGTCCCTTGGGAGAGGTTTCCCTGGCCCCCAGAGCTGCCTTAGCACATGGACAGCAGGTAGACACACGCTGTTTCACCAGACCACTGAGCACTCGCTCACTCAGAGGACTCTCCTGACCCTTCTCCATGGGACTCTAAAAAAAGACAAAGAGATTTTTAGAATTTTCTTTTTTTTTCTTCTTGCTTTTTATGTATGCAAAGCTTGGCATTGGCATTAGCTTACACTGGAAACTAAAAGCCCCCCCTCAGCCTTCCTGACACGGCAACCCCTTAATACAGCTCCTCATGTTGTGGTGACCCCAACTATGACACTATTTTCATTGCTGCTTCATAACTGTAATTTTGATCCTGTTATGAATCTTATTATAAAAATCTGTGTTTTCTGATGGTCTTAGGTGATCCCTGTGAAAGGGTCGCTCAACCCCCAGAGCGACTGCGGCCCACAGGTTGAGAAAGAAAATCCCAATTAAATATAATTCAAAATGCATGTCCTTAGGTATGTGCATTTTAAAGTAATGTTTTTGGGGTTTGTGGAGTTTTTGTGTGTGTGCCCTGAATTTTATGTTACGTTAATGTTTTAATCTTTATTAATTATAAAGACGTCAAGTTTTATTATCATAACTAAAGAACCAGAGTTTCTTAGCAGCAAATATTCTAGATTGCTTTTCTATCTTCTTTTACTTTTATTATTGTTTGTTTGTTTGTTTGTTTTTAGTAAACACTCTGTTTCCTTTGGTCTTACAGGAATTCCCTACAGCGAACACAGCAGCTACCTAGAAATGAAACGTTTTGTCCAGTGGCTGAAGCCACAGAAAATCATCCCCACCGTGAATGTCGGCACCTTCAAGTCTCGGGACACAATGGAGAAGTACTTCAAAGAGTGGAGACTGGAAGCTGGATACTGATGCTGTCACCAGAAGCAGCAGGAGGTACGGACGGCAGGTGTCAATAGTTAGTCTAAACCAAAGGAACTGTAAGTTGTGAAAGACTCTCAGGACTGTGTTTTTCTCACTCACCTTTGAATACTGTATCCATGCTACTAAATGCCTCCCAGAATCCTCAGGGACGGCTGGGAGGGGTCTTCCCAGGGCCTTTAATTCTTCATCCTTCCTCTGCGAGGCAAAAGTGATCTGCAGCAACCTGAGGGGGAAAGGAAAAGGGTTCATGGAAATGGATGCTAGCCCAGAAGCATTGTCTATGGGATAGGAAATAAAACTTTTATATGATAGGCACTCTTAAATAAAAATCAATATAGAACTTACTACACCATCTTTTGTTGTTTTAATTGTTTTGCTTTCTTTTTAACAATTTTATACTCACTGCAAAACTGAGTAAGAAGTTCAGAGTTCATGTGTGCCAAGCCCCACACTGATTCTAGCCCCTCTGATTATAGCATCCTCCACCAGAAGGGCACATGCTTTAACACTGGTGCATGCGTGTTGACCTCATAACCATAGTTCACAATTTGCACAAGGATTCACTGTTGGTGGTCACGTTCTGTGGGTTTGACAAGTGTTTAACATATCAATCAGGGTGTGCCATAGTGTTACGATAACTCTTCCTGCCAGCCTGGTCCCAGTGCTGTGTCTGCCCCAAAAAACACACAGAGACTCTATTAGGAATAATGCTGTTGGCCAATGTCTAGGGCTTCTTATTGACTAGCTCTGTCTTAAGTACTAACCCATAACTTCTATTGTATGTATTTCTCCATGGTCTTATCTTACTGAGAACACCTGACTCATGCATCCTCTCCTCCCGGGATCACATGGCGGCTCCTTCCTTACTACACTTCCCAGAATCCTCCTTGTCTCCTAGTCCTGCCTATCTTGCTTCCCTATTGGCCAACAGTGTTTTATTCATCAACCAATAAGAGAGACATGTACAGAAGACTTCCCCCATCATCTCTTTTCTGTCTAAATAAAAAGAAAGGTTTTAACTTTAACATAGTCAAATTATATATAACAAAATAGTTATTAAGCAAGAACTATAATTAACAATATTTAGTCCAATAACATTTAGCAAGATTTAAAGAAAGTATTTTATCTATCCTATCTTTGTGAGTCTAAAGTCTTATATGTAACTTATCTTTTATTGTAAATAAGGAAAATTGTAACCATGACTATCTGTCTTCAATTCCATCAAAGACCACAGAAGGATAAAATATAAACTCTAGAATTGACAGAGACATCTCGCTGCCTGGACAGTCACCCAAAATCCTGTAATGTTCCATCTTTGGCCCATAGGCCATAGTGCGTTTGGCAGACTCCTGGGTAAAGCAGGAAACTTTCAACTGTCTGCCTTTATTGGCAGTTTGTCAGTCACTTTTCTCTGTGCCCTGTAGGATGTCTGGCAGCATGAAGCAGGAACCCTGTAGCATGACCATCTTGTTTCAGCAGTCACTTTCCTGTGAGTCTTGCATGTCCATTTTATATAGCATAAAGTCATACAGTCCAGACAAGAGCAGTTTCTTGCCCAAGTGGCTAGTCTTTTCATATTGGAAGCAAACTCCATAACGAGTTTCTTCTATGTCCATCTTCCCTACTGACGAAGTTGGTGTTGTCAGGAGTAGTTGTCTCATTGTCAAGAAAAACCCTAAACCATTTTAAATGCCATATTCTGTAGGTCTGAAAGTTTGAAGAATGCCTATCCAATTGAAATGTATCTCTATATATGTAGAAAACCTAACTAAACTAACTATAAGTTTTGATTATATGTAACTATCTATAATCTGTATTTAATTATACATTATATATTTAAATGAGCTATACAAACACAATACCTAAACAAGAGGAGAAATATATATATCACAAAATTGACCTTAAATTTGTATCCATCAATGGAAATTCATTCCAATAAAAAGTATTCATTTCTAGTCCATAATCTCCCTTTTACCTTTAAAAAGAGATTGGTTGTGATCATTAACCACTTAAAACCAACCCCATTTAAATAAAAATCAAAATTTATAAACAATATTTGGGGATTTGGGTGTCATTCATTCCAAACTGCTTCCTGCTGGTTGTGAGCACTGTCCATACCATGGGGATCATGACAAAACACAGAAACCTGGCTAAGTCCTTGTTTTTGCAGTCTGTAAGTCTGCATCTGCTCAGCTGTTTTAGATGTTGGATCACCTGGGACACTGTTTCAGGGGGTCTTGATCAAACCATATTAGTCTGGAAGGAATCCATAGCTTTACATTTTCTGTAGAAACACAAGCAAAAATTCTTTTTCCAAGTAACCTGAAGGTGTTGCTCAGACTCAGGTATCTCTTTTAGATAAGTTTAAGGGTATGGATGTGATAGGTATGGTCAAAATTGGATATAGGTATATCAACATAGTTTCTAGTGAACTGGCGTTAGCAACTGTTAGCTATAGTTAACTAATTGTTAGATTATTGTATGTTGACTGTTTAGGGTCTTCTTTCTGTTTATGATGTTTTGCACACAAATATAAAACTATATTGATGTATATACATTTTGTATATTGATAACAGCTTAGGATATTCTATCATATCGAATTTTACAGTTTTACCTCTAGTCAAGACATTTCAGCTCTATCTCTGTTAGTGAGAATTATATATATGTATATAGTTACATTTTGTGAAGTCATTGTCCTGGTTAAATTATTTTGGGACACTTCAGCACTGGACAACTGTGTTTCCGAGAATTACTATTACCACCCATGTTTCTTATCTATGAGATTAGTCAGACATAGATATTTGATCTTCAAACACTTCAAAGATCTACAGAATATAATGTTTTAATATTAGTACTCCATTGACATGAGACACAATTGCTCCTGACAGCACCAAGCTATTCCGGAGAACCAATGTCACTCCTCAGCTAATGGCCTTTGGGCAAAGAACTGCCCCCACCTCGACTGCTGACTTTGGACATGCTGTCCTACTGTGCTTGCAGGAGATAAATTAGAAGACTGCTGGACCTTGCCAAGCAAGGGTGAGACAGCCTTTCTACCTCCCTGCTCCTGTGTTGGTCTGTCAGATATCTAGGCCTTAGCCAAAGCCCCTATGCTGCTGTGAGATTTTGGGTGACTGTCCAGGTAGCCTGCTGTTTCTGTCTTCGCTGCACCTTTGGAAGTTGCACACCTGTGCTTCCTGCCTACCCTAGTATTGTTATCTTCCTTCTCAGGTCTCTGATGAGGTTGAAGATTAGACTGTCACAATTATTGTTCTCTTTCTAGATAGAAACATTAGATACAAGACTTAAACTGTCCAGCTTAGGACAGCTCTGTAGTAATCTCTTATTATGTCTTTACCCTAGACTGGATATGTAGTTCTTGGCATTTGCTCTTGTTGCTTCACTGACAATAGGTTTTAAGTGTGTTTGTTCTTACATTTCCTTCTGCTAGAGCATTATTGATATTTGCTGTCTTTGTATATAGTTCCTTATCAAGCCTAAACATTAAACTAAAAGGGTAATTGTAATGAGATATCCACCCTGCCCACATCTGTAGCACTGACCACGCCCATTTGGGTGTGGTCACAGGTGCGGACACAATGGAGGGCAGGACTAGATCTGGGGTCCCGGACCCCTGCTCTCTTGCTTCCAGTCGGGTCACAGAGGCCAGCCTGGGTGATCCTTGGGGAGAATCTGCAGCCATCACCTGCCTCTTGTGTGAGTGCATTTTCCCTGAAAAAACTTCCCGTAACCTGTACTGAGTCTAGTGAATGTTGATTCCCATGCAACACCATACAAAAGTTTCACTCCCTTAAGTATGCTTTATGTGCCTGGAACTGGGATTACAGTTATAAGCTACCATGTAGGTGCATGTAGGAATTGAACCCTGGTCCTCTAGAAGAGCAGCCAGTGTTCTGAACCACTAAGCCATCTCTCCAGCCCAAAACTCAATTCTTTGTATGATTGAAATCAAAATTAAAGACAAAGAAATGGTCAAAATGTCTTCCAATGTGGCTTGATTTTTAAATTAGGTCATTCATTTCCTTAATGTTAAATTGTTTAAGTAGTGTGTTTTGGATAAGGATTCTTTTTCATAAATATCATTTGCATCTGACAGGGTTTTAATTTTAATAGAAGTATAGCATGTTATATGTCCCTTTCATTGGTCATGCTTTGGGTGGTGTACTTAAAAACTCACCATTGTGCCCAAGGACGTATCTTTCAGGAGTTTTATAATTTTGCATCTCGTATTTACATCTGTGACCCATTCTGAATTAGTATTTATAAGATCTGTGTCCAAACTGATTTTTTTTTTTTTTTGCATGTGTATGTACAGGTGTTTCGGGGCCACTTGTTGCAAAGATAATCACTCCATTCTACTGTTTCTTCTCCACAGTTACAGGTCATTTCTGGGCTTTCTATTCTGTTACATTGACTTAGCGTCTTGATGACGATAGCTTTATAATCAGTCTTGAAGCTGGGCAGTGGTAGTGCTCCAGTGTAGTCCTCCTTCAAGGCTGTTAGCCTTCCTTGGACTTGGTCTTTTCATATGAACTGTACAGCCATCCCCTCAGCAGATCAAGCTGTGAAGCTCTGATAACTTGGCAGTGTTGCGTCTCCCTGCCCTTGCACACAGTGCTTTAGTTTGTCTGTTTTTCTTTCATCACAGTTCTATGGTTTTGTTCATATAAAACTTGCATACATTTTATTAGATTTACACTAGGGTAAGATAAATGATTCTGTGTCTTAAATTTCAAATTCCCTGTTTGTTTCTGGGATGTGAAAAAAAAAGCAATGGACTTTTTTATGTGGATGTAGGTGTGTACATGTAGGGGTCAGAGGTCAATCTTGATGTTGTTCCCTGAAGCACCTTCCATTTTTTATTTGAGACAGACTGTTATGTCTTGGATTTGGCAGTGTAGGCCAGGACAGCTAGCTGGACTGCAAGCTTCCAGAGATCTGCTAACATCTGCCTCCCATCTAGCCTTCTCTGGGATTACAGGACATGGCACACCTGGGTTTTTACATGGGTTGAAGGGATCTAACCTCAGGTCTTCATGCTTTCCAGGCAAACACATTACCAATTAAGCCATGGTGCTGGTTAGGTTTATGTCAGCTTGACACAGCTGAAGTCATGGGACAGGAGGGATCCTCAAATGAGAAAATGCCTCCGAAAGATCTGGCTGTAGGCATACCTGTAGAGCATTTTCTTAATTAGTGATTGACATGGGAGGACCCAGCCCATTGTGGGTCCTTGGTTCTGTAAGGAAGCAGGCTGAATAGGTATGGGGGAGCAAGCCAGTAAACAGCACCCCTCCATGACCTCAGCATCAGCCCCCGCCTCCAGGG